GTGTGTGGGGGGGGGGGGGGGGGGGGGGGGGGTGGGAAGCCGAAACCCCCCCCCCCCCCCCCCCCCCCCTCGGCGTGGGTTCGGGGCCCGCTTAAGGACCCCGAAAAAAATGGTATTTTAGAGGGTGAATGCTGCCATTTGGTACGGTTTAGAACTATGATTCAGCAAGTCAATTTCTAATTTCAAGAGGAGACCATTATAGTGTGATTTTTTTTCCCCAGAAATACAGTAGAAGGGGGGTCAGGACCCCCCCCCCGACCCCCTCTAAATCCTCCACTGAAATGTATCAAAAGTTCTGACAGATAATTGAAAATTCAATGGCAATGTGTTATCTTTCAATAAAAAAATGTAAATCAAATGAAACTATAAACGGTATTAAAAGTTCACCAAGGGAAAGGGGGCTGGGCACCGTGAGAAAAAGTTTTGCTCGATGAAAAATAAGGTTTGAGTGAATTTTCGCTGTTGCAAATTCGGCCACTATTGAAGCATCTATGACCTTCTATCATTCTAAATTTACAGTTACATTAGACTTAATGTATGATTGTCCACTGACATTAAGTACAAACACTTTTGACATTTACAACATTTGTGAAGGAAATGGAAAATTCTCAATTTGAAAGTTATACCATTGTTGCTCAAAAACCTATACATAAACAATTCTTCCACCAATCATTAAAAAAGAAAAAGAAAAAAAAGAAAAAAGAAAGAAAAGAAAACGGGAAAAAGATTTATCTTGAGTACCACAAAATAATGTTCCTTAAATAAGGAAGAGAATTGCAAAATATCCCATAGTTTGTGAAAACTTCATTTGCTGTGTGTGTTTATCTGGCCCTCATATGCACTGATAAAAATAATGTAACTTCATTTGCTGTATGTGTGTGTGTGTGTGTGTGTGTGTGTGTGTGTGTGTGTGTGTTTATCCAGCCCTCATATGCATTGATAAAATATATAATGTATTGGTGTACAGAATAACTTTCTGCATTATTAAAATCATTTTTAAAAAAATAAACTGTTGCTTTTTGCTTTCATATACCTATAATGTTTTTTTTTAAATTGAATTATATATTTTCGCAATATCCCCAAAACGGCTATATTTTAATGCAAAGATGCAAAATACAAGAAAAAGTGGGAGCCTGGCAACGTTAACTCATATTCATGTTTAAAAGCATGTAGTGATTTTTTATCCAAGTTTATGTTTCCTATACATGGCTGGAGATACCCCCGCTTTCTTCATTTTATCAAAATTTTTCATTCCACTGTGCGGATTTAGGTTGCTATTTTGAATGTAACCAAAGTGGGTTGCCTCCCACCTTTTCAACAGCAATATATTTCAGACAATTGGCATTTATATCTTTTGAAATTAAGATTGTAAATTAAAAGGAGCGATCAGCCATGTTTTCTGGACACGTAGGTTTTATTCAAGTAGCTAACTTTATCTTTTTACCCTAAAAGATAAACGACATTATATCATAGGCGTCGTCCCCCCCTGCATAGGAGTTATTTTCATCATGGCCGTGCATTGTGATACACGTGGGTGATTCATTCAATAAAGGAAGAAAAACTCTTATCTAAATATATCAACTGTCACGCAAAGTCACCAATCTTAGAATAATGGGTGCATATCTTTCTGCACCCGTCACTGACAAGATATCTGTCGATGGAGGCAAGGATAAATTGAAATATGGAGCGTCATCCATGCAGGGTTGGCGGATTTCTCAAGAAGTGAGTATGGATAATATGACTGTGTACTCAGCTGAAATGCAGTATTTCCCTCCACGTATAGATAGGTTTGCTCCCCAATACACTGCATTGATTATATGTACAATAATTTACTGACGAAAACTGCTATAAAAATATGGCGAGTCTTAAACGTTTCTCACAGTTAACAATACACTGAATACAAGATGAAGTAGGACACAAGGAAGATTGGAAATCCGTGTCTCACTGTTTACCAGTATTATATCGGTCGTTTTCCTTTATAGTAAAACTTTTGTTGAATATTACTTTGGAAATGCACAATATATTAAAAGGTTAAGTCAACATCAATTGATTGTAATGCCACAGTCTTTAGGCAGAATACAAGTTATAGCCACAGCTTTAAGAAAGCATCATGTTAATGACCTATGACAGTTATTTTGCAAAGTTTCATAGTTAATATTGTTCTTAATAGTGCAACTAAAACACCACAAGATATTCAGTCTAACTGAAGTGCTGACCACAGAGTTTGATAAGTGATTGATTATGTTATATTGCTGTCACAGTGTTATGTTCTGGTTTGGCATTATAGGAGGACCACATGCAGGTCAAAACTACATGAGAGCAGTCCCAGGGAGGGTAAGGGGGACAAAATTGAACGTGTTAGATAAAACACAGTCACCCTAAGAGATACATGCCAGAACATATCAGGAAGAAACTTGTGTTCAAGGCAGAGGGTGGCAGTATATTATTTGACATACAAAGCAAGAGAAAGCACTTCCATTTCACCTAAAAACATCATTAAAACTGAACAAAATGTATATTGCCACGGTCTCATAAAATCTCTAGGTGTGTATGTGTGATTACTATATATATGTATGTATTCATTTATTACAGGATTCCCACAACTGTTGCCTAGATTTTGATCCAGAATCCCAGACCAGTCTATTTGCTGTTTATGATGGACATGGAGGTGATTGATCAGTTATTTCTTTACTAGGCTATTTTTTATAGTTATTAAAGTGCTTGTTGCTTACCCTACACACATACACAAAAAAATTATCCACATTTTGATTATAATAGAAATAAACAAGCAAGGCTGTATGACTTGCCTTTTATGAAAGGCATTGGAACAGATTTCAAATTACAGTTTTTTACAATTAAGCAGTTTGGGATTATCTTTTTCGTAAATACCATAATTACAGAGATAATTCGTTAATAAACAAGTTACAAAAAATTGNCCCCCCCCCCCCCCCCCCCCCCCCCCCCCCCGGCGTGGGGTTTGGGGCCCGCTTAAGGACCCGGAAAAATGGTATTTTAGAGGGTGAATGGTGCCATTTGGTACGGTTTAGAACTATGATTCTTATTTCAAGAGGAGACCATTATAGTGTGATTTTTTTTCAGAAATACAGTAGAAGGGGGTCATGCAGGACCCCCCCCCCCGACCCCCCTATAAATCCGCCACTGAAATGTATCAAAAGTTCTGAAAGATAATTGAAAATTCAATGCCAATGTGTTATCTTTCAATAAAAAAAAAAGTTATGTAAATCAAATGAAACTATAAACGGTATTAAAAGTTCACCAAGGGAAAGGGGGCTGGGCACTGTGAGAAAAAGTTTTGCTTGATGATAAATAAGGTTTGAGTGAATTTTCGCTGTTGCAAATTCGGCCACTATTGAAGCATCTATGACCTTCTATCATTCTAAATTTACAGTTACATTAGACTAAATGTACGTATGATTGTCTTCTGACATTAAGTACAAACACTTTTGACATTTACAACATTTGTGAAGAAAATGGAAATTTCTCAATTTGAAAGTTATACCATTGTTGCTCAAAAACATATACATAAACAATTCTTCCACCAATCATTAAAAAAGAAAGAAAAAAAGAAAGAAAAGAAAACATGAAAAAGATTTATTTTGAGAACCACAAAATAATGTTCCTTAAATTAGGAAGAGAATTGCAAAATACCCCATAGTTTGTGAAAACTTCATTTGCTGTGTGTGTTTATCTGGCCCTCATATGCACTGATAAAACTAATGTAACTTCTTTTGCTGTGTGTGTGTGTGTGTGTGTGTTTATTCAGCCCTCATATGCATTGATGAAATAATGTATTGGTGTACAGAATAACTTTCTGCATTATTAAAATCATTTTTAAAAAATTTAACTGTTGCTTTTTGCTTTCATTTACCTATAATGGTGTTTTTATTTTTAATTGAATTATATATTTTCGCAATATCCCCAAAACGGCTATATTTTAATGCAAAAATACAAAATACAAGAAAAAGTGGGAGCCTGGCAACGTTAACTCATATTCATGTTTAAAAGCATGCAGTGATTTTTTATCCAAGTTTATGTTTCCTATACATGGCTAGGGATACCGCCGCTTTCTTCATTTTATCAAAATTTTTCATTCCACTGTGCGGATTTAGGTTGCTATTTTGAATGTAACCAAAGTGGGTTGCCTCCCACCTTTTCAACAGCAATCTATTTCAGACAATTGCCATTTATATCTTTTGAAATTAAGATTGTAAATTAAAAGGAACGATCAGCCATGTTTTCTGGACACGTAGGTTTTATTCAAGTAGCTAACTTTATCTTTTTATCCAAAAAGATAAACGACATTATATCATAGGCGTCGTCCCCCCCTGCATAGGAGTTATTTTCATCATGGCCGTGCATTGTGATACACGTGGGTGATTCATTCAATAAAGGAAGAAAAACTCTTATCTAAATATATCAACTGTCACGCAAAGTCACCAATCTTAGAATAATGGGTGCATATCTTTCTGCACCCGTCACTGACAAGATATCTGTCGATGGAGGCAAGGATAAATTGAAATATGGAGCGTCATCCATGCAGGGTTGGCGGATTTCTCAAGAAGTGAGTATGGATATGACTGTGTACTCAGCTGAAATGCAGTATTTCCTTCCACGTAAAAGATCCCCAATGCACTGCATTGATGATATGTACAATAATTTACTGACGAAAACTGCTATAAAAATAAGGCGAGTCTTAAACGTTTCTCACGATCAGTTTCGCAGTTAACAATACACTGAATACAGGATGAAGTAGGACTCAGACACAAGGAAGATTGGAAATCTGTGTTTCACTGTTTACCAGTATTATATCAGTCATCTTCCTTTATAGTAAAACTTTTGTTAAATATTACTTTGGAAATGCACAATTATATTAAAAGGTTAAGTCAACATCAATTGATTGGAAAGCCACAGTCCTTAGGCAGCGAATACAAGTTATAGCCACAGCTTTAAGAAAGCATCATGTTAATGACCTATGACAGTTATTTTGCAAAGTTTCATAGTTAATATTGTTCTTAATAGTGCAACTAAAACACCACAAGATATTCAGTCTAACTGAAGTGCTGACCACAGAGTTTGATAAGTGATTAATTATGTTATATTGCTGTCACAGTGTTATGTTCTGGTTTGGCATTATAGGAGGACCACACGCAGGTCAAAACTACATGAGAGCAGTCCCAGGGAGGGTAAGGGGGACAAAATTGAACGTGTTAGATAAAACACAGTCACCCTAAGAGATACATGCCAGAACATATCAGGAAGAAACTTGTGTTCAAGGCAGAGGGTGGCAGTATATTATTTGACATACAAAGCAAGAGAAAGCACTTCCATTTCACCTAAAAACACCATTAAAACTGAACAAAATGTATATTGCCACGGTCTCATAAAATCTCTAGGTGTGTATGTGTGATTACTATATATATGTATGTATTCATTTATTACAGGATTCCCACAACTGTTGCCTAGATTTTGATCCAGAATCCCAGACCAGTCTATTTGCTGTTTATGATGGACATGGAGGTGATTGATCAGTTATTTCTTTACTAGGCTATTTTTGTAGTTATTAAAGTGCTTGTTGCTTACCCTACACACATACACAAAAAATTATCCACATTTTGATTATAATAGAAATAAACAAGCAAGGCTGCATGACTTGCCTTTTATGAAAGGCATTGGAACAGATTTCAAATTACAGTTTTTTACAATTAAGCAATTTGGGATTATCTTTTTCGTAAATACCATAATTACAGAGATAATTTGTTAATAAACAAGTTACAAAAAACTGTGACCATGTATAAAGTGTAGGTAATAAACTCGGTACTCAATTGAATTTGAAGAGTTGCCTACAACTTAAACTGTGACCTCTCCACTAATAGTGGTCATGAATACTTTTATTGATGATAAAATATATCTTTATGCATTTTGAAAATAATGTTGACAGCCTTGCAGTTTGAGCATATTTAACAAAGAATTTGATTATATCTAATTCTGATGTGTTTTTCTTTATTAGGTGCTGAGGTGGCACAGTATTGCTCTTTACACCTCCCAGAGCACATAAAAAATACGGTAGCTTATAAAGAAAACTGTATTGGCCAATGTCTAGAAGATGCCTTCCTCAGTTTTGATGGTTTACTGACCCAGGAACATGTTATTGAGGAGCTACGTCATATTGCTGGCATTGATGAACAAGAAGATATAGATGGTGAAGATACAGGTAAGAAAAATCTCAGTTTTGGGTAACACTGGCTAAGTTTCTGTTAATCAACCAGTGACAGATTGTATTGGAAATACGGAAAAAATAATGTTCATTTTGTCTGTGAAATAACCCATTTGAATAATACCCACATCCTGATAGATTAAATGCAGCAGCAGCAGAGTTGCAGAGAAGTATTCTGAATGCAATATTATGGGGAATAAAGCAATTAAATGACTGGTGATTGAGGTTTAGATCAGATAAGTAGCCAAGACTCCAGACTTTACGAAAGGTGTCGGACCGTCGGACATGCCTGGCAAATTTCGTCTCGGTCCGATAAAAAATCCTGTATCGTCGGACCTTATGTCCGGCGAGTTTTCAAACGGGCTGGGAATGTGTAAATATAAGGAATACATTGTTGTTTCTTTTCTGGACGATATATTTTACTTCATTCGAATAGAGAGACGGGGTGAAAATCTCGTGGAGTTCCCAGCTAATTATACATAATTTATTAACCTCAGTTTCACTCACAAAATACTATTTTGTGACTGGCTGAGGTTGGGGGATTCCTGAATGATGTAATGTACAATCTCGTTTTCGTTTTCATAATACCCCTACACAACAAAATGGCCGCAACACATGTGCTTGTGCTATTTGCGTTTTTACAGACTTGATCCTCGGTTTCTTCATTATCAGTCGTACACAGTACTCATGGATTAGCCTTTTGCTTAGAAAATGACGTTGTTGAACTTTAAACACTTCGTTGGTGCAAAGCGTGGCAAAAATGAAAACGAAGTGAGGAAGAGAAACGGAAGTTTAATAAAATTGGAAAGAAGGTAGGCCCTGGCGGACCTGTGATCTGTAGGAGAGGAATAGTGTGTGCTGAGTGTCAGGAATACTAAAGTTATCATTTTGATCAATAGCAACATAAATGTTACAGCTTTATTACGGGTTCTTAAATTATGGAACATAATGTACGTATTTGCATGTACCGTTCACCACGAGTTGGAGAAAGTGCACATGAACTTGATGAAAGCTCACAGTTCTTTTTATAAAAAAAGAAATAAAATGAAGAAGGAACTTAGACTCGGGCTGGACAGTCCCTGTCAAAGCTTCAATTGGATGAAAGAGACTGCCATACTGTGCTGTTTCAAAATGCATATGTTATTGCCAAATACCACGTGTGAAATGGTTATCTGATTAACAGACGTTTTTATGGACATACATTTGATATTACTAGCTACACATTCTTCGTACTTGTATTGTTTTAGTCCTTGTGTCATTCCACAACATCTTTTTCATTAAATAAAAAACTTGTTATCCAGTAATTTTTTGTCTTTTTTTTTTTTTGTTTTTCTTTCTTATTTTACTTTTTTTGTAAATAAATATATATCAAAAATTTAATATTTGACTTAATGTCAATGATTTAAAACGTTAGAAAATACACATGAAAACATGAATAATGGTTCATATTTCTATTATTTTACTTCGGTCTGACAGATTTTGTTTCGGTCTGACAGAATTTTCAAGCTTGTCAGACCGAATGTCTGACAAATTTTTTGGCCTTTCGTAAAGTCTGAAGACTCTAATGTACCTCAAAATGTCTTCAGAATTATTTCATTTATTTCAGTTGAAGAAGAAACTGCATTGCTGTATAAAGAGGCAACCATGCCATTGGAAGAAATCTTAAAGAAATATGAAGATAAAGAAGAGAAGGAAAATAAAATGTTGAACAATATTCGAAAAGTGTGTAAAAAAGAAGGTATTCAGTCCCCCGCTGTTCCAAGAAAAAAACCCAATCTGACATCCAATTCAGACAATGTAGAAAACTTGAATGGAGGAATCAGTGACACCAATGATGAGACCAAACAAAATTTACTTGCCAAACTGGTTAATGGACACCCAGAAAATGAAAACAATGAAAATATTGAAAAAGAGCAAATTGATAGGAACAATAGGACATTACAGACTGAAGCCACTTCCCAACCCAATAGATCTGACACATCACAGCCTTCATCTTCAAATTATAAGAACTTGGCCCAAGACACACACCCCTCCAACTCTGGGAGTTCGAGCTTTGCAGGAGGATCTGGGGATGGTGCTGTTGAAGGATCCTCTAACAAAAGTCCAGACACAGAGGACAAACCTGGTCCATCATCATCATCTTCATCTGCAGCAGAGGAACCTGGTCCATCTGGATCTGGAAGCTCAGTAAGTTATTTTGAAATATTTATTGTATTTTTAAATATTTATTGTATTTTAGGATTGTCTTTTATGGAAATTATATGTCTTTATTTTTCAGAATGCCAGGGTTTAAGTCTTGACAATGTCTAACCTGTATTATTCTTCGCAGAAGAACCTTATGCAACTTACCAGAACACAAGCAAAATAGAGTTGAACTTGATTTGGAGCTAGCTGTCATCGCTCCTTCTCAGCTGCCAGATAATTCTAAAGCTAAAATGTTGTTGCTTTGGTTTGATACTTAAACTCAGTTGGGACGTAATATTTCTAATTTACTTAACAATAAGGACATAATATTTATTGTAGCTACCATGAGAAGCATTGCAGGTTTGATGACATGTGTAATTTGTCACTTTTTAGAAGAGAAGCACAGTTGTCAGTATGCCTTTTCCTGCTTTTCATTTTAGTTACAAGTAATTTCAAAGGCTTTAAATCACAAAAGTTTTGTTGTTGAATAATTGATAGTAAAATCAGTAGAAGATTTTTAAAAGGCTTTAACACAATACCTTTTACCTGATTTCTTTTCAGTCTGGTCCAAGTACAGCTGCCAGTTCTTCTGGCGCCAGTGGTCCTCCAGCAGTGCTGGATGACAGTGAAGAGGATAGTGAGGATGATGAGGATGAAGAAGAGAACTTTGAAGATGAGGAGGATGACAGGTTAGGGGACATTTGGCCATTAAGTGATTGATTCAATTTTGTTCAAGTTGATTTAATCAATTTTTTGTTACTGGAGTACAAAAGAATTGCTGAGAAAATTGTTTTGATGAAATTTTTTTTATTCTAAAGATAGAAATACAACTTAATGATTAAATTTATTACACTGTATATGATTGTTAACAAAGCTATATGACTTATTTCTACAACAATGTATTCTTGTAATCTTTGCATATCAGTGAAGATGACGAGGATGATGAAGATGAGGATGATAAAGATGAGGATGATATAGAAGGAGCACCCATATTTATGGAAAAAGAAGAAGTAAGATACTCATATCTGAAGACTTTTCCATACAGGTCACATCAGCTGGTTTAACAGTTAACTTTTATTTATTTATTTATTTATTTATTTATTTATTTATTTATTTTGAAGCCTTCTCTCACCCACACACAATTAATGTTTTTAATTTAGGGTGCTTAAATAATTATATAAGAATCATAAACAAAAATCTTTATGTAAATGATTTGCCTATTCATTCTTAATTAATATCATTCATCTTATTATAGCCTGGCAGTGACAGTGGGTGCACGGCAGTGGTAGCGTTGTTGCGTGGTAACGAGCTGTACGTGGCCAATGCTGGAGATTCAAGATGTGTGGTGTCCAGGGAAGGGTCAGCAGTAGACATGTCATTTGATCACAAGCCAGAGGATGAGCCTGAGAAATCTAGGATAGAGAAGGCTGGTGGAAAAGTTACGGCAGATGGACGTGTGAATGGTGGTCTCAATTTATCACGTGCAATAGGTATTAAAATTGGGTTTTTCTGCAGTTTTCAAATGGATTTGAAAGATTGCTTTAAGAAGAGATTTTAAACTGAACAGGCCATTAGGTGTTCTTTATAAACAAGTGTTTCCAAAAGAAGGAACGCTTGCCAAATCAAAAAATTTCATTATTGAAAATTTGGTCAGAACAGTTTAAAATATTAAATACACTTATTGTGTTTCTTTGTTTTTCAACCTTTCACATTTACTCTCTTCCAGGTGATCACTGTTACAAGAGGAATACAGATCTTCCACCAAAAGAGCAGATGATCACAGCATTGCCTGACATCAAGTCTGTTGTACTGGATGAGAAAGATGAATTTATGGTCATTGCATGTGATGGTATATGGTAAGAGACAGAAAACAATTTTTGAACTTAAAAACACTAAAAAAAGTTTGATTAATATTTTGGATAAATAATGTGATTTTGGAAATATGTTGTGTTTTCTGTACATCATATTCAGATAAGGTGGCATGAAGTAATAAACAGTTACCCAGCTTATCAAATATTGATAATGGTGTGAGTCTGATGTTTGATCTTATGTACTAATTTTACTATTTCCAGGAATTTCATGACTAGCCAAGATGTCATAGATTTTGTAAGAGATAGGTTGGGTAAACAAGAGAAAATTTCCAAGATCTGTGAAGAGGTTTGTATTTCACAACCTTCTTTTACCAGTATGAAAATAGTTTCGAACCTAAGGGTCAATCTTTTAAATGATTTCTTGTTTCTGTACTCGTGTCAGTTTTGTACATAACTTTTTGGACATTGAGCACTTTAATGGGTATATATAAACACAGCTAATGGAAATTGCACACTGTCTCAAAGCAGAAGCAATTGAGTGTTTGATTAAAATATTTTGCTGATCGCATTTCAGTTATTTGACCACTGCTTAGCACCACACACATATGGCGATGGGACAGGATGTGATAATATGACAGCTATAATTGTCACCTTTAAGGATGTAGAAAAGGTGGCCGGCAATAAACGTTCTATACAGGAAATATTGTCCGAAGATCAGGAACAAAATAAAGAAAAGAAAGCCAAAACTGAGACTAGTAGTGAGCCTACAGATGCCTGTACTCAAAGGGCTGCTGATGATAGTAAGCCAACATCCAGTGATCAGTCCAGTTTACCAGTATAATCATCATAATGTCTATATTTTGATATCGTTGAAATCGGTTCTTCCCACATCTTCAACACCAGAGCTTGTAAATTTGTATGTTAAACTGTGCGTGAAAACATTTGTTGTAACTGCAAAGACTAGGCAGATTTTCCTCCCAAAATTTCTCTGTTCTAGAAAGAAGCTGAAGTATCTCTTTACCTTGGGAATGGATGTTGATGTTTTTTCATCTTATATGCACATTGCTTTGGGGTTGTAAGGAGCTCCAGGTTTTCATTTAGTTACCTTGTCTGATAGATGAAACAGTGAAACTTCTTCACAAAGTGGGAAGTTGATATCCGTGGCTTGGTGAATACTAACACCAGAATGACTGGTTGTGTAGTCTAGTGCATACATGACAATGTAAATGTGTCTTTGACGTTTGTTAAAACATAGTGAAATGTTCAAGTGTAATTTGATTACAATTTTAAGAAAAAAATTGAAAGATGGTTCCAGGAACTTAAAATATTATGTACATATTGAAAAAGAATGGATGAATGAAAATTTGTCATTGATAATGTGAAGGATTTTGTCTTAAGAATAATTCTTTATTAAAGTGGAAATACATGTACATGTGGACAGCTTTATTCTTTGTACCGAAATGTTATTTTACTGTACTTTTTATGTATCAACTGAGCATTAGTAAAAATAAACCTTAAGTGCAACTTTTCATGAAACGAAGTTGGAAATTGTTGATTCAAGGGCACTCGGGTAGAGCACATTTCTCTACCAAATGGGGAATATTATAGGTACTGAATAAGGTATTTTGTTTATAGTTTTGATTTCCTACATAAAAATTTTTTGTTATGAAAGACATCCTGCTTTTATATTGGAATTGGGGGCAATGAGCAATATTAAGTTGTGATTTTGTAAACTAAACAGTTGCTGCCAAAATGTTTTATTCATTAAAAATTGAATATGTGTAGTAATACACAAACTTGACAGTAGGTCTCATAAAACTTCATTCTTGATGATGAAATAATTTGCTAGCAAAAGCTCATTATATTAGTGCCTAATGGCTGTGTTCAAATACAACTGCACATATTATGCTGGTATATGTGTGTGTATATATATATATATATATTCAATAACTAAAACCTTTTTCTCCTTTACAAATAGCTGCCATAAAGGACTGAAATGGTAAGAGCATACTTGGAATAGGTATGCTCCACTAAATCTCTACACACTAACTCAAACATTTAAAAAGTAAACACTGGCAATGTTACATATATAAAGTCACACAAGCTTGAAATAAAATACATATGGAATGATATCACTGGCTCCTCTGAGATTCATTTTAAAACAAGACTAGAATGAGAAGTAAAATTCAAAAAGATGTTGAATTGTATTATGGCCTCTTAAAATCAAACTTAAATAGAGATAAAAGTGAGATTCACCATTCCAAACGGATAATATTTGCCACTTCACTGAAAACAAATGATATCCTTAAATGCAAAAAAAAAAAAAAAAAAGAGAGAGAGAATGCAGTCTGTAATGACATTTTAAATTCTAAAATATAAACACTCAACCCAAATTAAAAATAACAATACACAATGTATATCTGGTCTCAACAACCTCAAAAATTATAAATATACTTTCCGTTTTTTCATCTGTCTGTTTTTGCTATAATTTTAAGATTCCTAAGGGTTTATACCAAACAACTGCCATTTCCAGTGCTGGCAAATTGATCAAAACTAATAACTATTTTATGGCAAAAACATGTTTCAAAGATTGTCTCAAAAGGTATATAAGAGCAAAGTATTTAGCTTTTACACTAGTGACATACCAAAGTTTACAAATCAGTTTGAAAAAGCAAAAAACAAACAATCAAAAAAACTGAAGTTGAAGCCTAAATTATAAATATTTCATCACTTTAAATCAAACCACCAATGAGAACAAAAATAAATAAAATAAAAATAAACCTACAAGTCACTGGATCCAGATCAAAATGGGAATGTTTCTGTTTCTTGTCATGTAATAATGCATGTTATACTAAGTTAATTGACACATTTACTTTTTGAAGATTTGTTCCATCTCTACTTGTTTTATCAAACCCATACATTCATCAAATTAGCTGCCTTACAGGTTTGCTGCATAATTAATTATCATTCTCTACTAGCCAAAAGTCTTTCCATACAGAGGCATAAGATAATCAAACATTTTCTTTGCCAGACCATGTATGTCATGCTCATGCTGCCAGCCCCAGTGGTTTCTTGCATTTGTGTCATCAAAAACTTGGGGCCAGGAGTTAGCTGCAAGTATTATAATATTAAACATTTTCAATTGTGAAATTAAAAATATCTCTACAACTGTATAAGAATTGGTGATAAATGAACATCTTCACAAAGGATGATAAAAGTTACAAATTCTTAAGTAACATATACTACTACATGCTCTTGTACCATCTGTATTATAATTTATTCTTACTTAAGTACTGCTCTAACCTAGCTCACTAGACCATTTCACACTTCATCATTATTCAGTTTTCAGGTTTTATCTTTTGTCTCATTTAGAAAGATAAAAACATTTTATAAGTCAAGTTTCTTTACTTTATACACAATTTGAATATGTAGCATTTTCAACATTTTAAAGCATGATACAAATTAAGCAGAAATTTGTCAAAACACTATGTCTCACGTAAGCTGAGAGTAAGTTCATGTACATACCAATTTGTTGTCTAACAGGATCCACCCTGTAAGTGATCCGGAAGTTTGGCACATACTTCTTTACTTCCTCTGCAAGCTCTGCTGGTGTGAAACTCATGGCTGTCACATTATAGGTGCGCATCTTCAGATTTTCTGCTGGGGTTTCCATTACCTCCATCAAGGAGCGCAGGCAATCATCAATGTACATCATGGGGAGTCTTGTATCTGGTTCAAGATAGCACTCATGGTGGCCAGTTCTGAGGGCATCATGGAAAATTTTCACAGCATAATCTAGAATTGTTAAGTAATGGTACTTTTATCCGTACCTACAACAAGTATATTCAAACCCACTGCCTGAGACAATGAATTAAGTCTTTCAAGTTTGCTATCAGATCACTGAAAGCAATTTCTGTACTACTTTGTAGATTGAAATGGGTAGCAGCAGTTATCATATAGTTAAAAAAACATCTAAGGTTGAGAAATACAATTGATGATCAAAATGGAGGAAAAGGGCTCTTTTTTGATTCACCAATGTTTGTTTGTACATGTAGTCATGTTTCTATAATGTACCCCAAAACTCCATTAGGTGTAATTTTCAAGCAGATTAAGTAGCTTAGCAAAAAATTACCAAGAATGTTTTTTGTCATGGCATTTATCCCCTTAATTTTGGTATTAGATAATAATGCCCACATTTCAGTTTTACCTGTTGTCCCTCCACCAGGATTAGTGTCAGCAGAAATCACTCCTGGGAAACGCAGGCATCGAAAGTCCAAACCAAATCTGTAGTTGTAGTACTGAAATAGCACAGTGTTTGTTACGCTTGATTGCAATTGACTTTAATTTAAAAAATAGAAATAAAGCTTGCTAGTGTTATTCTGTTAGAATGATACTGATTGCATCCCTGATTAAATATAAAAATATATTCTGGATGTAACTTCACCCTACCTCTCCTAAAAGTTCTGCATGCACCTTGGAGACTCCATAAATAGTTTGTGGTCTCTGTATGGCCAGGTCAGGGGTAGGGTTCCTGGGAGAGGATGGTCCAAATGCACCTAGAGTGAAGGGCATTTTAAAAGTTCCATAAGTTTTTATGTGTTTAAATTAAATGATACACAAGCACAATAATTAAAATACATGTTCACAGTTATCATTCTTATGTTTTCTTTAACTCTACAGCAAACTACTGGTATCCCCAGCTCCTGGCAAATATTCTTTAAGCTAGTAAATTACAGCTTATAGCCATGGGCTACATTTATAGTGCCATTTAAAATATATACAGTACATAACATCTACATTTAATAGCACATCTTACCAATGGTACTGGGTATGAAAAGCTTAAGATGGTATTGCTTGGCCAGTTCCATTACATTGTGTACCCCTTCTATGTTTACTCTCATTGCTAGAGGAATGTTAGCCTCTCCTATAGCACTCAACAGGGCACTGAAATGCACCAACCAGTCCACACGCTGGTTAACTATGATTTCCTGGAGATTTTTGAAATCCAAAATATCAGCATACAAAAATGGTCCTGAAAAGAGGGAATAAAGTTGATAGGTTTTATAAAGTTTAAAAAGCCCCTTCACAAATATTCAATTTATAGTATTGTGTAAAAAATCATTAATAAAAGTATATACCATGCATTACCCAAAGAAAGACATATACTATAGTAAGAGGGAGTAGGGTTGCGTGCATGGATGACTGGTTAATAGTAATTAACAACCCATGTGGCATCTACCTACATTAAGGCTCATTGATTATTTCACACTGTGCTCAGTTACTTCATATATAGTTAAATATATAAATATGCATATAATTTCAATTTGTGTTACACTTACAGTAGTTACCTACCTCTATGTCTTTGTGCTTTCACTTTATTTGTTTATTGCTGTAATTAGTGTTGTATTTATACTACANTGCAACATCAGTTAACATCTTTGCCATTATGTAAAAAAATTGAAGTCAAAAGTTTTGACTGTAGGACCAGTTTCAAGTGGTGTCTGTAGGCCTAAATAGTAGTGGAAGCGTCTACTGCAGGGCCGTAGCCTGAGCAAAATGCCAGGGGGGCAGTAAGCGGACACGAGGGGGCGAAGCCCCCGAGGGGTGTGTGTGTGGGAGGGGCTGTCCCCCTCCCACGGTGTGAAAAATTTTTTAAAACTGTATGTATAATACTGCATTCTGGTGCATTTTAAATGTTATTTATTGGTCAATCAGAATTAGAAATTGTGGGTTCATTTTGCCATAAGTACAGTCATTTTTTCAACACAACACGCCAATTGGCCTGAGGGATAGCTCCCTCAGGGAGGGTGAGCTTTTTGGCATGAACTGAGTTGGCTAAAAACAGTACACCTTTGTAAACAGATTGTTGAATGATTGTCTAGTGGCCATGAGTGCCTTTTCTCACAGAATTGATACCAACTTTGCAATTATTTTTTTTACGATCATTTTTTTTTTTTTTTTTGCACCCCAATTTCCAGGGGGGGCAGCTGCCCCCCCTGCCCCCCCGGAGGCTACGGCCCTGTACTAACATACTTTATGTCTATGTTAAAACATCTTTTAATTAAAATTAGCTTTGCATTAAAATATTACAGCTGTTTAACTTGCCTCTAGTTTTCCCCTCTGTTCATTTATAATAGTAAATGCACACTGGCCAGGAAAGTAATAAAAGTATTTACCACACTTTACCCAGTGAAGGACAATGATGTCCACAGGGATGAATTATTTCTTACTGGAAGTCTCATTATCTAAGACCCCATTCCCACAGATTTTAGATCGATCTATCCCTGTGGGGAGTCTCACTAGATGACTGTCAGCTTAGCCGGCTTAAATGTCTGCCCCGCCTACTAAAAGCTGTAAGGGGGTAATTGACTACCGTGCGCGCTCGGCTGAGAGCAATTTAGCGTGAACCCCCAGGGAGTTAGGTTGATCTAGATGGATCAATCTAAATCTATGGGAATGCACTCTAAGACTGAATATACTCCTACCCTCTACCAGGGCCCAGGTTTGGTAGACAAAATTCCCCAATTTGCACCATTAAAATACTAGCACTAAAAGTGAACTGAAGGCAATGTCACATGATGTACATTCTCTTTGATCAGCTTATATTTACCTCTGTTAAATTCATTTTTTGGGGCCCGGATAATATCTGACATGATAACATTATCCTTGCCAAATTTATTCCTGAAAAAATAAAACATATATTGGTAACAAAAATATTTAACATTCAGTCAATGAAAAGATAAGAAGCATAAATTAGTATGAACATAAAATTACTAATAATTTTGAAAAGTTAATAGAAGTCTACTTACAAAAGACAGGCAAAAACATGTTAATACTTTAGAGAATGCCTTTTAACTGTTCATATACAATGTGACATTTCTATCCAAACAGCTTTTCATGTCATATGTAATTATATAAAACAATAGAAATGCACAATGTCCTCTTGAACTTTATCAAATCTGTGTCAGACAGGTACTGCTTACATTATCATTTAATATGCATTGCTGTAGTATGTTAGAATATAGAGTGCACATAATTACCGTAGTAATTTAGCAAGCCCTGTTCCAAGCTGCCCCAAACTACCTAAGATAGATACAAACAATCTCAACAATTTGACATAGAGAAGTATGAAGTTACTACTATCTATTACTGCATATGTCTTACTATAGTAGCCTTGTTTTAAACCAAGCTAGACACACTTTAGAGCTGCCATCATTTGGCAAAATGGATCTTTTCATATGATAATGCCAACCTTCTTTTTGCCATTAGAAAATTCTGATTCTGCTGGTATATATTTCAATACAACTGAACAATTCAAACAAATAACTGAAAGTAAGACCTTTAATATTTGACATCAAATGACATTAGAAAATAAACACTCCTGGTGCCTGTATTAATTGCTCCACATTTTGATAGCGTAATAATGTTCTTTAAAAGAACAAGCTAGAACAGACCCTGAGACAGTACATATTTCTGCTTTCAACTGTGCCACTATTTAGACCTTTCAATTTGTTTTTATGGTGATTACCTAAAAGACCCACATCTTCAATCCATGATGCAACTTTAAAAATTAGAAACCTTAAGCTAGACAAAGCAGAAGACTTCCAGTTGGTTGGATTTTTAATTATAATTTTAGGTCAAATAACATGATTTCAGTCTCTGTATATTTCAAAACGATTTATTACAAAAATATGAATTGTTTTAATTTATTCATATTCAACAGAACACCTACCAAAATAATAATAATAATAATAGTAACAATAATAATAATATCCAATAAAAAAACTTTCAGTCATCAAAAGTAATTCAACAGCACCTGTTAACATTATTCAGTGCACTTAATGATGCATAGAACTGGTTGCTCAAAACACATCAGATGTTTATCTTCTATGCCCGAGTTTTATGGTGGCATTATTTGGTCTACCTCGCCAGGCTTAAATGCATGTGGCAGGCTCATTTGTATCTATAACAATGTCCATTTGTGTATATGCTATGAAAATAGTGCTGCCCTGTTTTTGTTTACTTATTATAACTCATTAAACTTTAAGTTTTAAGATAAAGAAACATTTTTAATAACAAACTTTAAGAATCTAAATTAATGTGTATAATGGTATGTATAACTCTTTCCATATTCCATAAAAATGTTTTACCTGTGATTAAAATTCTTGGTTTATCCTCTTCAGGTTTTGGGTAGTACTCCTTTTCCTCTTCCTTCAGCCATGGTTCTGATGCTGTAGCTCCATTAAGATTCCTTATAGAAACATTGCATACTGGGTTCACAACATAAGAAACAAGTTTTCTTGTTGCTCTTACTGGTAACATCTCTTACAGGCTGCTTAATCACAATTAATGAGAATGCTTTCAAAATAAGTGATGACTGATAAGATGGAATTCTAAGATTCTAACTGGAATGCTGGTTCAGGTGGAATGAAGATGAAGAAATGCTGATCAAACCTGAAAGTTATAAGTATTTCTTGTTATATGACTATAATAATCATTGAATATACATGTAGTGTGCTGTCTTTCTTGTGCCCTAATTCATGCACTGTATCTTTATATAATTGCTGACACAAGCTACATGACAGAGAAAATGCCATATTGTGAAACATTCATTAAATGTATGTAATTTTGTGTACAAAGTACATTTTAAATGACAATTTTAAATAACCAAAAGATGTCCATGCATTGACCTAACAGTACACATGTGCCTGCATTGTACATGTACAGAATGCAACAGCTACCAGTAGCTAGCTTGTATGTACTCATAATCATGTCTAGTACTATAAAGCAATGGTATAATGCCAATGTAGCAATGACACGTACGATAAAATATATTTATCAGTACTTTCCTAGATACACGTGTACATTTGTTTTGAAAAAATAATAAATAAAATAAAATTTAAAAAATAATAAACTACGCCGGCCACGGCTTTGTCATAAAGACCAAATTTGAAATACCCTTTCATGAACTCAAAGCTGGCTGGTGTAATACATGTTTTTTTACTATCATGTCATATTAGATCTTCACTGTTAACCGATTTCATATGAAGTTTAATTGAATATGACTTTATTATGAGTCGTGGCATTGCGTAAACTAAAGCATGTAGATCTAACACGAGGTTGCCGGATCCTTGATGCAATCAATTTTTTAAACGTGACAGTTATCCAAAGTTATATTTTCATACCGATAGTTACCTACTTTACTCATTCTTAAGTAACTGAGCACCATTTACCCCGTAAAATACGTTAAAATCATCAGACTTACTTGCTAAATCTGGTAAACTCTACTGCTTATTTTGCCATCGGTGACCTTGAGTTGAGGCAAGCCCCCTTTTCTAGCCAATCACATAGCTGCACTTAAAATGAACTGGGGGAGCGGCTAGTGCGTCATAGAAGTAGAGAAAACTTTCACTTGCAACTAAAAAGTGCTGATTATCATACGATTAAAGTTCAGATAACATTTTCTATTTAAGTGACTTTCATATTAGGTCTTTTTTTAAACTTTATAGAAACAAGCTGTCATTTTCCATTTTTTTCTACTGCAAAACTAAGTGAAACAACGTCCCCTAGCTCTTTCTAAAATGTGATTTACTTCCGGTGCATTAGGGTGAACATGCATATTAATGGGTAACTCACATAAGAAAATCGCTTGGAGCAGACGATCCAAACAACAACAACGAAAATCATTTTATGATGTTGTCGATGGACCGGGGTTTGATACAGTTGACCATCCACCGGAACACTTATCCTACACTTGTTTGGACGCTCTGTTCACAATCTCTTCCGTTGTCGGTTACATTGCTGATACAGGCTTTGACATAGCACTCGCTGTAGAATATTGGTATCACAGAGATTTTCTGCTCTTTGGATGGACAGCTGCATTAATTGTATTACCAAGTATTATACTAACTGTATGCAGTATCAGATTTTATATTTTGGATGCGAAACACAGTGAAGCTCCGCCTGAACATTGTTTAAGATGGCTGCTGAGAGCAGTGTTTTTGTTGTTGCATTTGGCGCCTGTTATCAGGTATTTTTCCTATGAATTTACTCAAGTATTCCTGTCGTTGTGCTGGAGTACGATTGAACCAGTGTACATAAGGTGGAAATGATCAAATTGATCTAGTCAACATGTTTTTTGATACATCTAGAACTCACTGTCGTTTGCTCCTTGAAAGCTATAGTTGCTGGAGATACTAGGATATATACTCTTACCATAAATAATGTGCAGAATATGAAGATGGGAGACACAGTGGGCGTTCTGTTTCCCAATCAAAAGAGAAGTTTAACATTATTTCCACCTCTAGTACACTGTTTCGGTTTGATCATTTTACGTTTATAAACAACTTTAATGGGCCCGTAAGACATTTGGGTCCAATAAATAGAGAGCATTCAAGTTTAGATAGATGCTAAATATCTTTCAATTTGGTTAGATCTACAGAAAATGCAAAATATTTCCTTTTTCAGTAAAAAAATATTAAATTGATTTATTCATTTGCCTCAACAAATTTGTAACCTGTTTGGCTGAAGGAAACATTTTTCTGGAGAGATCCCAAAAAAAGTATTTAAATTGAAGTTTTAAAAGTCAGTTGTTTTGACCAGTAAAGTAGTAATGCATGAGTGATATATTTTCAACTATTTTATAATCATAACTTAACACTTTATTTCTTTTGATTACATATGTGGAATACACTGTCATGTTTATCTTTTTTCCTGCAGCTGTAAATGAGCGATGTCTTTTGTCTTACTTCATGCAGGGACAATTTGGACTGTTGAACTTTAGTCTCTTTAAGTAGACTAAGTTATCCTCCTTGTTATATATGCTCTAGCTAGTTCTCAAATCTGTGTATGTTACTTATTAGAGATAACAGTAGAAATTATATTATATATTATCGAGTATCTTTGCACTGAGTACAAGTCAGGATTCAGCTGACTGCTATTCCATCTCAGGGGCGGATTCAGAGATATTTTCTGACAGTCTTCCAAATCATCTTTTTGATCAATCCTCAGTTTTTGAACGTCTTCCAACAGAAAAAATTAGATACCCATCAATGTAAACTTGAATATCTGACCGTCTTCCAGAGGACCCAGAAGACGGGCCCCATTCCGCCCCTGCATCTGGAATGCCAGTGGAAAGCAAAAGTACTAGTGCTAATATCTCTTCTAAGGCAGTGAAAGGGATTTCCCTATCTTATATATCTAGCTCATACAGTCTCAAGAAATAAGATTCATTTCCATGAAAATCTGTTTGTAATTACAGTATTGATCTTTGATAACTCATGGATTGATGTGTCTCAGATCAGTTATAAACTAGTTAAAAGCTTCTTGTTTCAATCTTGCCTTTTAACTTTTAAAAAATAAACTGTACATTATCATGTTTTGTAAATGTAGGTTTTTGTTTCAGGTACATCGAATCAATATACTTTGGTTACAAAAGCAGAAAATGTCATGACAGAAAGGAAAGGGAAAAGTACTACTACCTCATGTTATTTGAAGATGTTGATTCATCTATGTTAAGGCTATTTGAATGCTTTACTGAGGCAGCACCTCAACTAGTATTGCAGTTGTATATTATGATTAACCAGGGGACTGATGAACATTGGCTGAGAGGTGAGATTTGTGCTGTAAAATATTGATAAGATTATTTTACATTGTGATCATGAGTATAACCAATCTTAGATAAGTGGTTAACAGTTCTGTAGGAAGTTCAATCAGTGTTGATGTTTATTTTATTGAATTCATATTTTGAATATGATAATTGTAATGCATACTTTAAGGAAAAACTTATCAGCTCCAGATATAGTATTTACCCATTAGGAGAATTCATTTATTAAACATTATTGAAAATATTAGTTTAATACATGGAATTGAATTATTATGTTCAGACCCCCCAATTACAAAGTTAAGTGATTTAGGTGCATTTTTTCTTTTTAATATTTCCACTTTCATGTTGAACTTATCATAATCTTTCCTTTATTCAGTAACTCTTCAGATTGGTGCTGTATTTACATCCTGGATATCTCTGAGCTGGTCCATCGTAGCCTACCACAAAGCATTACGTTACTCTCGCAATGACAAGAAAAATATGGAAATTCCAGGAATCATTCTCATGTTCTTATGGCGTAGCTGTATAATCGCACCACGAGTAATTGTACTTGCTCTGTTCATTGCAGCATTTGGAATTTATAGCATTATTTTTCCTCTGGTACATTGGATCATCATGACAACCTATTTAATCTCATCAGCTACAAAAGCAGAATTTTGCAAACATTTACCAGAGGAGTATCTATTCAAAGCACTAATGGGAATAGTCTATATATTTTGTTTTATAAATATCTATGAAGGACACACCCGGTTCAGGTACCTATTTGTATATACATTGGAATATGTAGAAAATGCAGTGCTGATATTATTGTGGTACTTCATGACAGCACAGACAGGTGTTTGGTACCACCTACCAGCACCTATATTTGTGTTGTTGCTGTATCCAATGGCTTTGGTGTTCATGACAGTGTATTACCTGCGCTTGCATCCCACTGGTGCCATACACAGGGGGTGTCTGCCATGCCCCAACCAAGAATGTTGTGCCAAAGTGACTCACATAAGGGAAAATTATACCAAGGAGTCAAATGGCAGTGTTCTTGAAAGGACAGGTTCAACAAATAGTCATCACCATATGGAACACAGAGAACAGTTACATCATACCGTAAGAGAAGAAGATATAGATACATCAACAGCAGAGTTGAAACCCCAACAAACTCCAGAGCAAGATGATATTGGGCCTGAGGAGAACCAAAGCTTTCAACATGATAAATGTATTTATACAACATCACTTTAAAAAGAATGAGACCAATAAAAGAATATTTTACATCAATCACAGCATTAATTCAGCCTAATTATCTTGTTTTTTTTTTTTTTTTTTTTTTTTTTTTTTGCACTCATGTTATTGATTGTATTTTGTTTTGCTGATATGTGTAGCTTTCACTTTGCTTTAATGTAAAGATGCACAATTTACTGCAGTACTTTTACCAGGATATTGTTATTTTTGTTCATTTATATATTTAAGTAATGTAATAATTTTACAAAGGAGATGGGTCATCAGTCTGGACTTCACAAACTAAATATAAGTGATAAATAGCTGGTACCATGTGACCATCTTGTCTCGGCCAGTAGAAGCCCACTGATAATTTGCCTAATAACACGAATTATTGTTAATCATAAATCTCTTAAGTTTTTTTTTTTTCAATTTAGTTTAAATTTTTAAAAATTGTAACATTCCTCTAACCTGAGCGAATTTTCTTGCCCTTAAGTGTCAGAGAAATATTGTATTTTCTTTTCAAGATTTTGGGAAAATAAGATAATAATATTATTATGTATTTTTTTAAGCTCAAATCTTGGATATGACTGAAACTCATATAGAGTACTAGTACTTTGCAGGTTTTGCTCATTGTTTTAGGAAGTTGTTTAATATTAATGATATTAATACGATGCAGAAATATTGTAAAGGTATGTAGTACATTATTTCCTCCTGTGTGCCAAAGTAAATGTTTGAGTTAAAAACCAATAGGGTTATTAATACTGTATATTGTTTAAATTTAAATGATTATGAGAATACTAAACTTAGTTTCTTCTTCCATTTTAGTCATTAGGTAATACCATTTAAAAAAAAATTGTTTTCATTAACATTAAACAATAGATATGTTACAGCTTTATCATTTCAAGCTGTAAACATTTTGATTAACAGCTGAAATTTTATGTGCTAGTATAGAATTGTGGATAAAATTTTTTATTGCCATCTAATCTGTAAAGATTTCCGTTTCTATGCTGTCTATGGGTGTATTCCCAGAGATTTAGATTGATCCAGGGATTAAGATTTAGATCGACCTAACTCCCTGGGGGTTCAAGCTAAATTGCAGTCAAACGAGCGCGCACCATAGTTAATAACCCCCTTACAGCTTTCAGTAGGCGGGAGAGATGCTTAAGCCAGCTAAGCTGACAGTAATCTAGTGAGACTCCCCACAGGGATAGATCGATCTTAAATATATGGAAATGGGGTCTATGATGCCTTTTCAGGGCTGTAGCAATAGTCTGAAGGTTCAAAAGTCCATAGGTTCATTGGCCCGAATGTTCACTATAGAACCTTCAGATCAATGAATCCTTGATTAAAAAAACAATGAAGATGTTACTAGTTTTCGTACCAATGAGCCTTCAGACTATCAAGACACCCCCGTCTTTTCATTGCCTTTAAATAATTTATGCAGTTTGTATACTTCAGATGTGTTGTAGCCATGTTTACTTATTAGTTTCACCAAAATGCATTTCCACCTTGAAAATTTTGGAGTCATCTCTCTATGTTATGCCATTGTCAGGGGCAGATCCAGAGATATTTTCTGACAGTTTACCAAATTATCTTTGTTAATCCATCCTCCATTTTTGACAGTCTTCCAACAAAAAAAAGGGTACTCGTCAATGTAAACTTCAAAATCTGACCGTCTTCCAGAAGACTTAGAAGACGGCCTCAATCCGCCCCTGATTATTACTTTTGCTCATTGCAACTCCCCTGTCATAAATATATTACCCATATCGCTTCCCCCAAGCATTGATACTCCATTCATGGTTTTTTAAAAATTAATATCCAAAACTTTCAGGTCTTCATATTTACAGTAAGGTTTTTAGATTGAGGCTAATGTTTAATATACTATTTTTCACAAATGGAGTAATGATGCGAGGTGTAACAGTGCAAGAGAAACAGGGCAGGGATGTAAAGGGATGATACAAAAAACTTAGTACATGGTGATTGCTCTCTAAAGTGTTGTTCATTTATGTACAGACACAGATGTCTGTACCTTTCAATGTGATCGACAAATATTTGGATACTGTGCAGACAAAGACACTCCTCATGATCTTTGATAACTGTTATTCAGCGAACTAACAACGATGTTTGATAACTGTTTTTCAGAGAAATTTTGATTCAAAGGTGAGTTTTTTATTGATGCAATAGGACAGGATTCAAATGACTGCCCATGTGCAAAAGGCCGAAGTTTGATATAAACAAATGTTGAAATTGACAAAGCCTGCCTGTGTTTACCATCTGGTTGATTTGATTTAATTTGCTTCTTGGTGTTGTTTTGAGAAAGTATATTAGAAATGTTTTATTGGTTGTGTGTATTAAAAGGTACATCCATCTGACTTTGCTTAGAATAACATTTATTTTACCTGCATTAAAAATGCAATATGCATTTAAAATTGTAGGAAGGTTAATTGCAGGTTATGCTGTGAAGATATGCTAATGCATGGGTGAAATTGGCCAATATAAAAATTTAACGTCTGTGTTTTGAAGGACAGTTGTAATTTTTCAAAAACAAGGCAATGGTGCCAAACAATTACATATGAAACAATTTGTAATCTCATAAAAATTGATATTTTTAATAAAGATCATACCTTGGCATATATCTAAAGACTTCTCAGCTTTTATTAGTCTTCGATAATAAAATACATGATATAATAAGTTCTCATGCGAGGGCTATTTATTAGCCTAATTGATATTTTGTAGAATTAAGAGGCTAACACACAAACCTTTCTTGAAGACAGCAGAGCGTAAAACTGAATGCATAGAATGGACAAAAAAAAAAAAAAAAAACAAGTTGAAATTGTTTTGATGAATAATATACACATCTAATGATGATGATTATTTAAGATGAATAATTCAAGATTAATAATTTTAGACACCATTCTTGTATCATCTCAACAACTATGATGGCGCTCTTACTCAACGAAAGGCTCTTTGCCTCAACAAACTTATTGTCCATGTTACCTGTTGTGCATAATTGAAATTTGGTGATGATTTTGCCATTTAGCATTATGTAGTATTGCATCAAAATTGAGAAAATGGCCCATTTTGTGCATTATTTCCTGCTTTTTGTCTGTATTTATGACAGTTTTGGTGCTTTGAGTTTTCCTCAAATTGGCAACCTATCACTTTAAATGAACATTAAGTCATTTGTTGACAAAGAACTTCACTTTTCTAGTAATTTTTTATTCAACAAAATAGTACGATAGAAGATAACATTTATTGCAACAAAAACATTTCCTATATTTTAGTTATATTACATTTGATCCATAACAAGCAATATGTTAACTTGTTTTGATAGAACTTGTGCTATTAATTTCCTTGTGGAAATGGTTTTTTATGGCTACAGATATCGAATAGTAATAAAAATTATGAATTGAAAGTCAGCACCAAAAATCTAATGCCAAGTTTTCACTGAAAAAAAAAAATCAAACATTTGGCAACTGACCATCATGTCTGACTGATTCTTTAACAAAAAGACTCTAACAAAAATATGGAAAATAATTACAATGGAATGACCGACAATAAATTATAATTACAAACAAAATGTAACCCCAATTCAATTTGTTCTACAGAATTGGTAGAGCATTATTAGGTCATTAATGTGCATCCACTGCATCAATAGTAAAATAAGGGCTCAAACAAAACTGTTTAATTGGGAATGAGCCCTAGGAATCCACTAACAACATTCAAAATATTGCATGACTATAACTATAAGAGTATTTAAAAACTATCTAAAAAGACCAATAGAAGTAAATTCCCAGTCCCTTAACTGTCAAAAAAATGACTGTCAAAATAATAACTGGCATAATAGATTATGGAACTTATTACATTAAGCAAATCCTTAATTTTGATTTTATTGTGTTCAGTATCCAGGCGGTTCACATGGATGACTGATGAGTGTTTAAATCATTAGATTGCACAGATTTCAAAAGGCATTGTCAAACATTCCTATCCTACACATTTACATTCATACATTCAATTATTTGACACACAATTCTTCAAAAGGAAGTTCCAAAGTCATCTGAAAAGTGACAAACAGTGAAAAAACTATCTACAAGATAGTTACAATTGCACTTACAAGTAAATCATGCAAAAGAAATTACTTTATGAGCTACATGTGTGTCAAATTGTGTTTACCTTTACGAAGTAATATTAATTGCACATTTCATTTCAGTGTTGCAGGTTTTTATCAAATTTCCTTTCTGTAATGTTTTCTTCTTGACAGAATGTTTAAATCAATAGAGGACACTTTATTTGTAACATTTTCTTTCCACATTCATAAATTGAGACCAAGCATGATCAGCTTTCTTGTACATAAATTTTTGGAGTGAACAACCTCTCCAATAAAGCCCTGAGTATATTACCTGGAACCTTCTGATGTTGAACTATAAGACTTTCTATACTTGTGTGTACCTAAAATAAAAATTTTAAATCCATCAACAACAGGATTACCTTCAAATTTTAAACCACTATAGCATTGTGATATTTAGTTATTCTGTTATTATTTATTTAACTGTTTTTTTAAATTTGCTCATTTATTGAGTATTTCAATTTATCACATGAAACTTGTGATTTTTTACCTTTTTTGCAACTTGTTCAACACTAAGGTTTGGATCATAAGGAATAGGATCTCCAATTATGGTCCTGAATTTCAAAACAGGTTTCCATTAGTAATATTAAAGTTATATTTTTTCTGACTAGCCGGTCATTTGGAACTAAATCAATAAATAAAGAATGGAACAAAACACTGAACCCAAGTACAGGTATGGGTGGAGCAAGGATTTGGGAGAACGAGAAAATTGCTCCCCCCACCCACCCTGAGGAAAATTCATTTTGAAAGGTAAATTATGTATCTTTTAACTGACAAGAATATGATCCAGATAACAATATTTAAGAAATAAAATTTTAAAATATACTTTATCTGTGCAATATATAATGTCACTATGCCACAAACCTCATTTTGACTGGAAATCCCCCATAAATTGGAACCAGTGGGAGCCTAGTTCTTTCATAAATCCTCCTCAACCAATCTGAAATGATGCTCATTTCCTTAGGCAATGCTTTATAAGTACTGGTAGCTGTGTAAATTATTTTCATGAAGAGTGTGCTTCAAGAGATTCTTTAACCATTTGTAAAATAATAAGGGTTTCTCACCTTTTCCAAGTCCCAATGAGCGGAACGCTTCTCTGCAATTTTGAGTAAACATTGGAATAATTGGCTAAAATGAGATATCAAAAGACATATCAAATGTTTGCAATAGCATTTATACAGACTGTTGATATCTAATTTGGTAATAGTAAAAGGCAGTATCACACAAGCACAATATACTGAATAGGACATTGTGTCTGACTAATCAGAAACCTAGAATTGTACAAGAGGTACAATTATGTAAGATTATCATGTTGTTAAGTACTTCAGTAAACAATCAGCCTTGTCATCATTTTCCACTCCAATATTAATTTTGAAATGAGCCTCGAAAATGTCTTTACTAACCACTTGTGCGTGTACAGCAATTTTGGCAAACCCTGTTCTTTTCCCCCACTGCAATCCATAGAATTCATCACTAAAGTATGCTTCACGTACTCCACCTATAAGACACAGTGACATAATGTTTCCAATTACACAGATTTAAACACCTTAAACTTATTAAATCCTCACTGTGTATGTTAGTTAAAGAAATGTTAAGAATTTCCTTCTAAATTTCTAAAATTAAGTTTTTAACCAAGTTTATAACCTACTTTTGTGAACAAATTTTCAAATCAAAATTTCATGTTCCTCATAGACTCATTTAAATAAAAACGTGCCTTTTCTTGCTATATATTTCTGTAACAGAAATACTCTTTATACTCTGATTCAGTAATAATCTAATACCAAATACCTGGTGCAATGGCTAAAAGCTGCCCTTGTTTCATCAGATCTATGCCACTCTGCACTGTCCCTGGTTGAACACAAAATACTTCCATTAACAACTTCCAACCTGAAATGATAAAAATGAAGGTATAAATGTATGAATGAATTAACATATCAGTCAATTTGTCAATACATCAAATTGCCAAAAAATAATGAATAAATCTACCTTTGTTCAATAATTGCTATAAATGTACAAAAACTTTGTACTAAATTTTGAAATATATCATAAGTAACAAATTTTTATTCAATATGAGAACTAGATTTTCCAGGCAAATATGAAAACAAACAATAAAAACAAAAATAAGGTAAAAAAAGAAGGAAAAGGCACATTATTTGCTTTAAGTCACCTGGAATATGAAAAAGAAACCGGTCTCCAACAGCCTGAAGCTGCCTGTTTTTGTGTAGAATACATTTGGCAATGAGGTAATATATATCAATGGGAATAGCTCCATGGTAATAAACTAGGAGTGCAGGTCCCTCAGATGGAATCTTGTCCAAACCAATGACTTCGTAACCTGAATTTTAAATTACACTGAGATTATAAATATGTACAGATATTAATAAGATTTAATGTGGTCAACAAATTTTTACCCAATTCTACAGAGAAAAACATATTTTTCTGATATATATATATATATATATATATATATATATATATATATATATATATATATATATATATATATATATGCCATTTGTTCAGTTCTAAGATAAATGCTGTTATTTCATCAAAGGAATTAATATGATGCAATCAAAATCAACTGCAGTTAAGAAATATCTTTAATAAAAACTTGGTTAGCATTTAAATAATAAGAGCATAACACGTTCTGAAATCAGTCTTCACCATGCCAAATATAGCCCTGAGCATCCCATAACGCTGCCAGTGTTTTCCGTGCACCATTCCAAAAATCTTGAGAATAGGCATCTTTTAATTGGTGTCTCAGTCTGTATATGTGCAGGAATAAAGCCGATGCATACAGAAATGCTATTATCATCAAGGGGAGGAGAAATGAGATGATGATCGGATACCACAGCCATGCCAGCCAACGGAGGTAATCAATGTCAAAATACACATCTAGTTTGTATAGCCCCCAAAGGTACAGGGCATAGACTTCTGCTGTTGTGTACAGATTGGAGAAGAATGTTGACATTTCTGGTCTCCTTGATCCAATCTTTTTAACTCTTTCATTTACGAGCTGTCCGAAGACAACTGGCTTGTTTTAGTGAGTAAATAAGGGCACTCTTCTCCCTTAAACAATCATTGTCTTGGATAGATTGTAAAGTCCACTGAAATATAACGCTACTGTCATTTGACTTTCAGGTCTTTGGAACAAATCCAAGGTACTTAATATACCATTCCCATGATTTGAGGCATTTCTATGCCCTTAAGCTCCAACCATCACATCTTTCAAACTGTTTTCTGAAATTAAAAATACAAAAAACTTATTTCAGCTATCATCCAGCTGAATGTCCAGTCAATTTTTGTTGGGTAAAAATTCTTTTACATTACAACTCCATTGTAAGGGGCATAATGAACCCTTCCTAACTAAGATTATAAAACCAATAAAACTTCCCAGGATATTGGTCAGGAGCAAGAGAAATTCAAATTCTTATAAACCCATTTAACAGACTATGAGGCAGCACAAGTATTATGAATAAATTTATCCATTTACCCCAATTTCCCCCCCCCCCTTTTCATGGGTTTCTTACAAAACTGCTTAAATGACATTCCCCATTCATATTCCCCACCAACCCCCATTCTAACACTGCAGATAAATGCTTTTAGTTCTGCTTTTAGTGGAAATGATACCGAGCTGGTACCAGGCAGACACTAAGCAGTAGCACTAAGCGAGCTTTAGCTCAGTTACAACATAATGAAACTCATCAAATTCAAAACATAAAGAAATAACAATTAAAAGTACATGTTGTACCTTACATCCACACTTTTAAAGGGGAGTGACTGACAGGTATTCATGCTTCAAGTCTTTAACCTTGACCTTGGAAAGCGAAATATTATTATCTTTTATTCTTTTTTACTTTCCCTCGTAATTTAGAATTATTTTTGATAGTTCTGGTTATATAACAGGTAATTCAATTAGAGGAATTATCTTTATTAATGATATTTTCGTTGCACGAGGAAACCCTTTCTCGCGTGATTTTCTCAATGTTGGCTAGATCGTAGATGGCAGCACAGTCGTCAGAATGTGAGTGAAGCTAATGTTGAAATCTTTCAAATTCTCTTTTCTTTGAAACAGTGGATTGGCAATAATCTGAGTGCATGGATACTTTAATCAAGTGATCATTATGAGATGGAAGATGATGGACGAAAGAAAAAGGTAAGTGGAGCAATATCACTGACTCTTGAATCGAGTCGCCGACTACGACGAGTTCACGAGGGTCGTGATCTCGGAATGCTGGAATAGGGTGTCTGGGTGTGGTCGCTTATACCCAGGGACCCTGGGGTTGACAATTTTAATAAAATTCAATATAAATTAGCTTCTGTCACGAAGGACGTAATGCACTTGGTTTGAAGGCCATGGGTTTATCCGTTTTGTTTATATCGAGTTATCTTCAGTAGAAAGTAGGCGGCCCTTACTGATGTATAAATAACAGGAATAGATATCACAACAATGCCATTAGGTTCAGCTGAAAAGGAATATGCGGTGTTATACCACCTAGACAAAAGACATCACCACCAATAGAAAATTCGTCTTACATAGAACACAATGAATCTGATATATCTCTTTCAATGTGACCCTACCCTTGCAAAAATTCAGGTTGAAGATCAGCTGGTTTTTGTAGCTTTGTAGTTGTGTATTGCACAGTTTCTGATTGATATATACAAAAAACACAAGTGACAAAACAAGGAAGTTCATTTTAGTGATTGCTAATCTGTATTTAGTCAGTGTTTTGGGGGACATGCTTCTGTCACAATATTTTATAAACACACCCACTGGTATACTGTGACTAAAATGAAACAGTCAGGGTATGCCACACAGAATATTCTCATGATTGCTAAACACTTCACACCTCAGGGGAACAACAGTCAGGTAAGATGATTGAATATTGCATAATGTCTTGAAGCATTAATATATAAATGCTATTATAAAAATTGAACGAGAGTTTAATTTTCAGTGTTTAGATAATTAAATTTTCCTTATACCCATCATACACAGAACTCAACTTCCATTTTACCAGCTTTATTTTACAGTTTATGTGGTATTTTTCTATTTAGGAAGTACATTTAATGTGTTTGTTCAAAATTATTCTAGAACCAGTGAACAAAAGCTTTACTAGGTGCATAACTTGTAAATTGGCATACTGGTATATATCAGTTTCTTGTTATTGGGAATTTTGATATGGTAGTTGTTTGGTAAAAGTTGGTTAAATGTTTTGTTTTTTATCCTTGTTGTAAAGAAGGTTGTTTATTCTTTAGCTTTTATAATAAGAGTTAAGTTATATTGTTGAATATGTTTCTATGAGATTAGTATTTAGTATTAGAATGTGTGACTTTGTTTTGAAAATTCAGTAAATAATTAATTGGGACTTATTAATAAATTTAATTAAAAACCTCCTGTTTAGTAGGCATTTTAAGTTAATTTGAAAGTTATGAAGAATATGTAACCACATGAAGAAAGATAAATTGTTAAAAAACAGCATTTCTCTTACAATTCCTTATAAGTCCACACACCCTCATTACTGCCATATAGACCCTATTCCTTGGGATTGTTACATAGCTGGCAGTGGATTATTTCACATGGTCATCACTTATTGCAGGCTAAATATATGAAGCAGATATATGTTTTTGTATTTGACAAAAATAGTATGATTCAACAGTGGTTGTGGCAATGATAATTTCAAAATTTTATTACCTTTAATTAAAACTGGCAGTCCTGGTTATATCTGTTTCAATAATTTGATGGATTATTATTAAGTGATGAAAAAAATAATATATACATTTGATTTTACCACTAGAACAATGTTAGCATTAAAACTGGTGTTAAGGATGTAATGTCCATAAGCATGGAAATATTGTCCCCTTGATACTGCCATAACCAAATAGATTAACTTTGGACAGCTTGACAACAGGATCAAATACACATAACTTCAAAAGCATAGCAAATACACATCTGCTGAGTTGTTTATAAAAATAAATAGTAACCCCTATACCTCTAACACAGGCTTGTCCAGGGGATGAATTATTTTTATGAATAAAGTGACAGGGTAGGACCTTGAAATAAAATGTGTCATGAAGTTAAATCTGGCATTATAGTGCACTGGGGTATAGTTTACCAGTTTTAAATCTATTGACTCAATATAAATGTTTACTGACTAAGGTATAACAATAATTGAATCAGGTCAGAGAAAAGTAAAGTGCTTAAGCCCGAAAAACTAGTTATGCAGTGTTATATGAATGTTTTAGAAAAGCACTTTGATAAATTGATTGATTTTATAGTATCCATTGTAAATCATTACCCCAATCTTGATCCGACAGCTTTTCTCACTGCCTTGCCCTGTGTACTTAGCCGTAGGTTAAACAGCTGCCTGTTTCTCAAATGTTCCTATTGTTACAAATAGGTGTTACATTTTCTTGAGTAAATATAGGTGTTCGGTATTGGGATTTATTTTTTTAAAAATCTTAAAATGTGAAAAAAAATTATAAAACGTACCGATAATACAAATAATGTGAGGTATTGTCAAAAGCTGTTAAGATCTGACAAAAAAGTGAAATTTAAAGTAAGAAAAAAGATATTAGGCCAGTGAGCCACTTAACTGATGATGCAAACTATCAAGTGAATAATATTACATATGTTGCAGCTATTGGGAAAAATTAGATATTCCATAAATTTTCATGTGAGTGGGTGGTGTAAAATAAAGGCACCATGTCAGAATGGTTTAATAGTTTCGTGGGAAGTTTGTGGTTTAACCTGTGGCCCAGATTTGATCTACTGTGCACAAGTGCTCGTCTACTGCATATACTCCTTCATCTATAAATTCTCACCAGTTATCTTTGTTTGTTAATGATTCTAGGTCCAAATATTAAAAAAAAAAAAAAACAGATTTATCTATGTGTCATCTACCAGGAGTAGCCGGTAAGATGTGTATCTGCAGCAAGAACATACCCAAAGGCTGCATAAAATCAGTTATCACTGATATCTGTTAATATTGATAACGTCAGTAAACACACACCACATTGAAGCAGGTTGTTTTTAGCTGAAGTGCATGCCATATATTTAAGTTATTTCACTCTTCTTGTATATTGTAATTTTGATATATTTGGACAGATGGTCTGCTCTGACTTTTTTCTTTATGTTAATCCCATGGTCATTAGTTTTGTTTGGCCATACCCAGCTTAGGTATGGTGCATTATATGTTAAGTCAGTGACCATAAAAAAAAAGATATCCGATGGTCATTTGAATGACCAGGTAAAAGGGCGCACATGTTGTGAGTAAGTCTTGACTAACATGTAACTCAGACAGATACTTATAAAAGAGTAAGCATGGCTGCATTTCCTCATTGGCACAAACTGTGGTAAATGGTATCTGAATAATTATGAAAACTTCTGAAAGTACCATATATTCATAGATTTTTGATTAAGTGTAATGCAATAATATGTACATCTTTGTGAAATTTTTCGTATGAATGTGATGGAAAATTGATAGAACCTGCAATACAAAAAAAATGATTTTGAGAATGAAATGGTGATGTGAAATTCAGTATCAGTATTTAAACAAAAAAGATGAAAGAATGATGGCAGGATGTTAAAGGCTTCTAGAATTGATCAGATTTAAATAAATCTACCATTAAAAAAAGAAAAAATCTTGACAACAGTCTCAGTTAAAAATGGATGATAAACATCAACAATATCCACTTTTACAGGGTGTATTTGGAGGACCACCAAAGAAACGTCCATCAGATAAACCAAAAAGTAAGGAAATGCTAGAAAGAAACCAACAGCGTCGCCCCTTACGCACATATCCTCTAAGCCCTCCAGACTATCTCATAGACCCTCAGGTGCTTCTACAAGACTACGTAGAAAAAGATTTAAGGGTAAGTTAGATGCTTTTTATGTACAGACACATTGTGTCTGTACATACAGCCATCACTTGCGTCTCTTGTCGGCACTGGCATTGCTCTTCACTTTCAAAGATAATAAGATAAGTGGAAAACAGTAAATTTTGTTGTCAATCTTACAGAACTGGCGAATATGAGTAAAATACAAGTACGGTAAAGTCTTGAAAATTTCGTCGTTCTTGAAAATTTCGTCGGCAGACGATTTGCCGCCGACGTAATTTTTTTCCCTTTGAAAACTTCGTCGACCTTAAAAATGAGGTACTCGATAATTTTTGAAAAGTTCGTCACCAAATATGGCCGCGTTGTCCAGCTCAAACATGAAGGTAATGCGTCAGTTGATTCAAGACAATGATACGATCAGGATATCATTGCCGATAACACTCTCAATGGGAGATAGGAACAATAGTGCGCCCCTGCAAGCGGTTACTCACAATATAGATGGTTTAGATGTGAATTCCCGTTCTCAATTGCGGGAACGTCGGCCTTTTGTCTTTAGTTGCATTACTATTACCTGGCTTAAGGTGCGTTATCAAGCCGGCAAATAGAAGTCACAGGCTGCGGCTTTGTCATTTGTAACGCCGTTATTGTTATCGGCGGCTGTCCTAAATGAGGAAGACACAATGAAAAAA